ATAACTGTTTGTTCCTTAAATAAAAAAAAAAAAAAAAAAAAAAAAAAAACATGAAAGGCACGGGGACAGTATCGAAAGCTTTCGTTTTAAGTTCAGTTACAGTTTAAGTTCTTGACTATCGAGCTTGTAAGTTCAAGTATTGCATCTTTTGTTGATTTTTGTGTCCTAAAACCATTTTTTTTAAGAAATAATATTTTTAGATTCTAAGTAACTAATCTGTCTTTTATTTACTGTTTTTTCTTAAATTAAAAAAAATATAACTACAGATGGGTCCTCACTCTTAAACATCAGATGAATAACGGCTCTCTTTAAGACACCGGCGAAAAACGTGATACAGTATCGGAACCAGAACATGCCTAGAGGTGATAACTAAAGCCGCAGGAATACAATCCCACCCGATTGCACAGTCTCGTTTAAATTTCAAGATAATAGAATCAATTTCAGATTCATCTGTATGGAATAACACTATTGATTTTTTATGATAGGTACTGTCTCTACTGCAGCCGTTAAAGATGTCTTACTCTGAGTATCAGGTCTTGATCTACTCCCCACACTTACAAAATAATCGTTGGCAGAATTCACAGATGTTTGCAGATTATCAGATAGATAAATAAGGCTGCCAGGTTTTGTTTCCTTTTTAATATTTGAGATTTCCTTATTATATTCCATGTTTATTTTATATCATTTTTATACTTAGTAAATCGTGCTTGTTCGTATTAATGTTTGATTTTTTTAAGAAGATTGTTGCAGAAATTTTTATATCGCTTATAAGTTACTTTAATGATTTCATTGATAGGATTTTGCTCATATTTTCGAATAAAATTGTCTCTTTGTCGGATACATCATCGAAGCAAGCCAGGTCCGATCCAGAGCTTAAGAATACGTTTTCCGGTATAATACTAACTCTAGTATTTGCCCTAATAATGTTGGATACTATTTCAAGTAAATGCTGTATACATATTGCAATTAACTGAAGAGAAACCAACTGCTTCAATATCTTTTACAGAGGTATGGATATTAAAGTGTTTCACCGAGCAATTGCGATTTTTATAATTTACGTTACATTTATTATCATTACAGAAGAGTACGGAATGATATAGATCTCTAACTACATAGAATAAGTAAGGGTTAACAATGCTTCGTCATACGAAAGATGTTCGCCAGCCTTGGCTGGTGACCGTGGCGGTGTTTTCTTTTATTTTACAATTAACGCATTTTTGGGATAATCCACATGATATGTGGTGTCAGTTAATATAGATGTAGTTAGATTTTAAATGAATTTCTTATTGAGCAGATATTCAATGAATGTTTATCGCAATTGCTTCTCCTAGAGATCTAGATTTAGAAAATTTTAATGGTGATTATTACTCATAATGCTATATTGACATTAATATATTTTTATGTGATGTTTATGTCTTCCTTTTTTAATATAGTCATGAAAAGTGACTAATATCTAATGAAGTAATTTTTAATTAGAATTCTCTATATGAATTAAAAAAGGGATAAACAGCAAACTTTGCTGAGTTTCCTGCCGGTTCTTCTCAACATAAGATCTCCTGCCGTAGATTTGTTAACCGCTGGCATAGTTTTCGACTTTTATAAGTGTGTAACAGCATAAACTAAATAAATTATGTTGAATTTGAATTATTTATTGTTTAACGTCCAGATATTCCACTGATTACTAATTCAAATTCAAAAGCAAAAGATATACCTGAAAATGTCTAAAAATATCAAAATTTGGTCCTTAGATTACGTTTAATAGTTTTAAATAGTAACAGTTTCTAATTTATAAACTGCACACCTATTCCACGTGAACCTATATTGCAACTTTGCACAATTCTAATCATAACATAATTAAACCTGGCATAGTTTCAGCACCTAACAATTTAAGCTGAGAATAAATATTGATCTCGCTTTGGGCACGAACGTGATCGCGATCAATATTGGATCATTTACGATGTCATAAATCATGGTAGGTACGTCATATCTGTGAAACGTTAATGCATATCTAATAGGATTAGAACACACCCATGTTGATTGCTTCCACAAGGATTATAATTTCGATCAATTAACCGGTGAATTATAAAATGTATCAATGTATGCTCTTTGTCATGTGTACAAATGGTTAATTTTGACAATAAACAAAAATACTTATAGCGTATCATCGCCATCAATTCATATGTACGCAGTATTTTTTTTTTTAAACAATTGAATATTTAAATTGTTTTATTAAAGAGCTGTGTTCGTGAAAATATAAAAAAAGACGTATACAGTTGATTGTATCCAGATTTGACTGTCGTACTTTGCATTGAATAGATTTCGAAAATACTAGACCGATTTAAAAATTCTTTCGCCTGCATAAAGATACATCATATGCTTGTGACAGAGTCGTGGAAAACAGCTAGTATTTGAATTTCGACTATTCCAGTTTGTTAAATACACACTGCATTTTTTTGACATGTCATAATTCCAACAAAGCCAAATCAAGTAGCTGTGTCGTTACCATTTATGAAATCTGTAATCTGTATTTATTTATATTGTCTCAGGTCTAGATGTTTTGTTTCGTTTCAGATTTCCATAATAAAAAGGCTTTAACTGATTTAGCCGAGCTATAAATGAGATGATCTCCAAATTATATTTATTGTCTGTTAATATAGTGTTAATAATAGACTTTATTAACTAACAGATTGTTAATTTTATGTCTTGTGATTAATTTGATGATTAAATCACAATACATACTAGATATTAAATTAACTGTTGGCGTGTTTGCAAATAACCCTTTATTGTGTTTATGTGATTTATTTGAAGCGGCAGTCATATATTCCGGAATGACTAGATATGAAACATAAAGCTTGCAATGATATTTATTGTCTACTCATAATTTAGAATGAAAACGTGTAAGCCTTGCCTTATTACCATTTATTTGTTATTAATTAATGTTAAACAAATGTTAATTATCTACGTACATGATAGATGTGCACAAAAAAGTTTATAAAAACAAAGAAAAAAAGAAATTCGAATCAAGTTAGTAACCAGCACATGAGTCAAATTGTCATATTAAAATTTGCACAGTGACGTCACCGTTAAGTGAATGAAATAAGACTTCTAACACCATTCTGATCTCAACAGAATTTACTTATTACAAAAATATGCCACGTTCTTGAATCTAGTTATTTGTGGAGCTATTTTTGTTACCTTGTTTCTGTACAAAATGGCAATGGTTATGTAAGAAGGTATTCCATAATTATATACTTAATTGTAAAAACGTTTTGATATTTCACTACTTATATTTACTTCTTATACAATATTTTATTTACTTCTTATATAATATGTGTGTTCCAATTTTATAACTTCGATTGGAACTCTTGTTATTTGTACTACTTTCTGTGTTTTTTGTTCATTGGTTATAAAATATTAATAAATATTTGTGCTGGATACGAATTGATCTTACCAAACGTTGTATACGTGTGTTCTGTACAAATAATAATTGAACTATGAAAGAAAAATTAAGAAATTTTGTAGCGTTGAGACAACCGAGAAAGTGTCACATTACGTGTACTACAACGGAAAAATTATTTAATATACATTGTTTTTCATATATTCGTTTTTTAACACTTTTAATTCAAAACGTATATACTAAATATTGCACAAAAATTATAAGCATTAACTTTTATTATGCATAAGTTACTTACCTCAAACGTGTAATCTTTGGTGCAGGAGAAGGTACAGTACGAGAACATTTCTCAAGCGATACGATCGCGACCCGAAATTATAAGCTGCACTTGAAACATGGAATTACTTGGGAACATCTCCGAGATGCGTGTAGGATGTTCTAAGGAAGTTGGATTACTGGAAGTGTTTCAATAGAGATTATAGCTACAAAGAAGATAGTGGATTTCACCATGAAGTTTTATCAATTATGTGCAATTAACAGATATTAACAAAATGAGAGGGCGGATAGTATCATACTGTATTGCCTCTAGATTGTGACATTTGAATGATTTTTATTAATTATTATATTTTAAGAATATTTTAACAAATTACTAAGATAATAGATATGAATGGAGATTTCTTTAAGACTAAGAAATATAAAATTTTTGACGTTCAAATTTTAGCAATAGGCAAGAGTTACACGATATCTACAAGGAGAGAAAACTTCACTTCAACCCCACCGTATTTATCAAAAATCTTACTCTTCCAAACTATATTTTTCAAAAATGATTATACTTGTTTTTTTGTGTTTCGTTAAAACTTTAAAAAAGTGCTGGTGTTATTTCTAGTTATGTAATTATACATCTTTAACCAACTTATGGGTAACTAACTTTTGTTTCAAGTTTATGTAAACAAATTAAAATGCAGGCAGAGTCTGTGCGATGCGGCGGACCATCGCGCCTACTAATTTGTGTAGTTTTACAGGCTAGTCACTGTAACGGGATAGGTTGACGGGATAAAGGGCAATAAGCATCATTCAACAAGACGACTTAATGGTGCTTGTGACTCTAATGACACTCGACTCTTCTGTTGTCAAGTTAATGAATTCGAGTGTGCAGTTATCGGGTGTTAACAAGTCTTTTTACAAATATTAGCTCTGTATTTATCGAGATGCTTTACGTTTAATGTCTTTATTTGTGTAGCTTTGTGATTTACATAAACGTCTTTTGATTGTAGTTAATGAAAACGTCTATGTTATTACTGCCGCCGCTGCTGCAACGGCTACATCATCATCGCCGCGGCCGCCTGCGAAGTAAGAATGCGTTGTCTGCGAAGCGGACCACACACTACAGAGATGCAAGAGGTTCAGCGAAATGGATAATGAAGCAAAATGGGAGATCTTCAAAATAGCAGCGATTTTCTTCAAGTGTCTCGAGAATCGTCATCATCAGCGACACTGTCGGGCGCGACCGTGCGGCATTAATGGATGCCGCCGACCAGCGCCTACTTCATTTCGATTTCTACGACGCGACGAATGAAGAATCGAAACTACTACCGATGAGTCCGTGATGTCGATAGACACCGGCACCAATGATGATCGATGTGTCGCTGTGCTGCTGAAGGTGATACCCATCACAGTGCCGGGTCCGAAGGGGAACGCGAACACATACGCGCTGCTGGACGAAGGCGCGACTGTGTCACTCATCGAAGAAAACCTGGCACAGAAACTCGCGAAAGGAACTTCGCGGCCACCAAGCATCCGCGGTGTGGCAGCGAGTCATCGAGTGAACAGTGTGATTATTGAGGTTACGATAGCTAATAAGAGCTTCGGCAACGCGTATCTAGTGAAGCTACGTACCATCAGACAGCTGGCACTGGATAGTCGGTTGGTACCAGTCAGCGTGCTATACCCACATCTGCGCGGATTGGATGCGCGCGTTAAGATAGGATCTAAAATGCGGTAACGCAAATTATACGTAAGCAATGAAATAATCGATAATAAACACTAATCGCTACTCGTTCTCCGATCGCTACTGCGTAAAGAAGTGTTTTATTTAAAGACCCCGCTCCGAACCAGCATCGTTAGAAACAACCCTAAAAAATACAGTCAACCACCAAAAGTACTTATATTTTATAGTAGTAAAAATTTATCTTTTTCTTCATATGCCATACCCAAACGTGTGTCGGCGACCACCCTTTTCCTATCTATCCCCTTTTCCTATCTATTTTTCCTTAAATTATTATCAATTTTAAAATATTACTTACATTTATTATTTTTGTTGTTAGTTTTCACTTCCATTTTCTTCTTCATTCTTTTGAGAACTTCTGGTGTATGTAAATATACTTCCATAAAAAATCTTAAACCATTTCGTCATCCAATTGAGTGAGGGTTAACTCATTGTTAGCAATGGAACGTGACGTTATCTAACATTATACAAAGCAGTTTTTGAAGGAACTTCGTTTTCAAACAACTATCAATTCCTTACGTACTGCCATGTTTTACAGGTAGCAACAACACCCAACGGAAATTATTATTAGGGAATATTAATTGATTAAACAGGCCAAAGGATCTCCCACGCTTCCGTTCCACATTCATCTCAAGAACTGTCTTTCCATACACGTTGTTTATTTGAAGAAATAAACTAACAATTTCATTACAAAAGAAAGTCATGGATTTCCTATGAATGAAACGCGTGGGCCACTATCTGACATCGACTTTATTTAAATACCTCACTGAAGATTCAACCTTGTTGTTAAGGGCATAGAAAGATAAGCCCTTTGCTAGACGTTTATTTTTCTCAAAAACGGAAATTAACTTTAGGAATGAAGATATAAAGCTGAAAATTCTTTGTCTTTTAAGGATATTATTAACAATACCGTAGCAAGAACAGGTGGCAACGCTTTAGTGGGTTTTACTCAATGTAATTGCTTACAGAGACATAGTCGTGATAGCAGACAATTCTCTTGTGAAATATGGCTATGTTTATATTTACTACAGAAAGTCTATTATTTGTTTATTGCCATAAGTTTGATTAAGAACCTTAATATAAAAAGCCTAAAATTGATTTTAATTAATAAAAATATGAAAAGAAAACTTTGTAAATGATGTTATTGTCACTTGCAAAGTTGTAAGAAAAAGATATATGTGTAAGAGCTGTTTCCCCGCGAATTCATAAGCGTAAATATATAGCCTATGTTAACCACGTATGGTGTAGCTAACTGTTGGTGAAATATTTTTTTACGCAACACTTATTCAGTAGTTTACGCAACACTTAGCTACGGAGGTTATGGAGGGGGAAAATTAATGGCGGTTTAAATAGCAATTACTTTTGACTACTTATAGAAGTAATTAATAAACATATAACTTTCTATGTATCAATATACGTAAATCAATCAATACGTTATAAATGTGGCGCATATCAATTTTCAATAATCTTGACATTGAATGGTATCCTGTCCTACGAGTATTTTATGATATTGATAAATACGTGCGTTAGAGTAGATTAGACAACAACACATTTTACGATATTATATCGAAATCTATTTTTTTTAAATCCCTTTGTCAGGTTAGATAGTTTCTGGTTGCAAACTTTTCGATGCACGAGTGATACACGGACGAACCCAATGACGTAGTAGTTAGAGCGCTCAGTCTGCGATAAGGTTGTTAAGCAACATTTGCAAGGGCTATTCATAGGATGGGTGACCAAAAATTTGTTAGTCGCTATTAGTCCTGGCTGCATTACATCACATGGAAGGCCTGACATTAATAGCTTAATTAACATTAATAGATGTGATGAAGATGATGATGCACTTATATTTGTAGAAAATATTTTTGTGAAGAATTGTGAATTTCAAATGATTCGTTTTTGTAACAAATTTAACTAACAGATTACCTACAATTATAACAAGTATAAAATACGTAATATATTAATACCTAACAGACTAATTAACAAATTATAACGTGAATGATTTTAATAGATTGTATCTTAATTGAACAGTAAATTTTAAATGTAACATGCATTAATACAGTCAATAATCTTATAAACATGTTGCTATTATATTTATTATGTAATTATTCAAATTAATATTTAATGGTTCATCTTAATTGAAAATCGTAAAACTATTGATGTTCGTGTTCGGGCGCACTTAATCAACTTACAATTTCAAATAAAATATATCATGAAAGTTTTGATATTAGAAAGCGTATAAAACTTTTTGGTTAACTACTTAAATCTGTTTGTTATTAATAATCTAAACTCGTACATTATATCAATATAATAAGAAAATATCATTCGTTTTGTTACTAGTTAAATTTATAATTATACCATTAACTATATCAACACATCCGATTTTTACTATCATATTTTGATCTATGTTATAAACATAATATAACATCGTAAAATTGAAATTAATACAAAATAAAATCAACGATTCCTTTATACAAGCTCAGAAATTACAGAACAAAGTTATGGAACATCTATAAACAAATTGTAAATATGAGCAGCTTCTAGTTTTTGAACAAAGGGCTCAAATCTACATATCTCAGTGTTCGTGGGCATATCAACTCACGTGGATCAGCAGAGAATATCAGTATCTCCATGCCAGGCATTCCAAGCTCTTCCCTTATTTGAAAACCTTATTCAAGAGCGCAGCGATAAAATAGTAATTCATTAAGGTCACTACACATTTTATTGCAGGAAGAACAAAAGTTATTTATTGTTGCTAAAAAATTAAAATGACAATATTATTGTTGTTAAGGGCCATAAACAGGTTTCGATTGCTCACGAGTTTGCTACAATATATAGGATTTTATTGCGGACGATGTGAGTTAAAATGACGCGACCACCTCTAGGCAACAAAGCATAATCTCGGACAAAAGTTTTAGGCCGACTGTGTTCTTGCGACACGTCTTTTTTTCTTTTAAAATTATGAATACCTTTAAAGTGTGTGAAAGCAATACATTGTTCCGCGAATATAAACAATATGATAATTTCGTTATTATTTAATTTTTTAATCAGTTAACTCAACTCTCACCTATATAATGTTTAAATACGGTGTGATTGAGATCGGTGATCCGCCATGACAAGGTCTGTCGGAGCATTATTTCTCTTTAGATTTTATAATGCAGGTAATACGAGACTCTCTATTGATTCATTAGCTTTATATTTCTAGGCTTTTGATTTAAATTTTCTATTTCTAGCTACCATAAAAAAAATATAAATTGTGTCGACTTATTCGTATCGTTATAAACATAAATGATTAAGTGGATATTTTTATATCGTATTATGCCAGTACTATTCCATCGACAACTTTTCACTGTCGCTGCACTGCAGACTGCCTTATGTACACAATAATAAAAGTACATAAAGAAATAAAATTTTACAACCAGTAACAAAATCTTCGGTCCCAACAAGCCCCCGCTTGATAGGAGAGATGTCCGCAAATGTAACATTATCCGAGATAAAATTTATATTGCACTAGTTTTGTGCAGTTAAAGTAAGTCGAATGTTCTTATTTTATCATTATCATGAGAATATAAGGGAAGATCAAGATCGTACATATTCTATTATAGGCTGTTACGTTTTTATACGCTAATAAATTTTTATAACATATTCTTATTGCATCGCGTACGTTAATACTTCAATTTTTCTTTATTTTATATCGGCCTTCTCAAAATTTTTTTAAGTATTCAGAAGTGATATTAGATTGGAAAGAAAAGCTATAAATACCGTAAAGCAAAAATTTTCCCGTGGTAAACTTTACGGTAGATGCTTTCTCGGCATAGGTAGTGATTTTAGTAATCCCAAAGGCTGCGTATGAATGGGAGACTTGAATGAAACTAGTAGTGTCATAACTTAGCCAGACATATCAGCGGGCTTACCGCATAAGCCTGGATTGTGAAATATACGGAGACAACTTGAATAAAGGTGCTGTCGCATATTATGTATATAACATTTCTTGTTTGACCAAGTTCTCTACTCCTGTTGGCCAACGTTTATTATAACCTGTGTATTAAATTTAGGAAATATTATATATCTATGAGGTGGTAGTATAAAAATCACGTACTACGTACATACTACTATATATAGTAGGTAATATATAGGGACTGTAATTATTCAGCAATTTAACAACAGATAACTGATGAAACCAATATATTTATAACCTTGAGTTCAGTCGTGCTGACAAAGAGAATAGTTCCAGTTGCATCTGTAGTCGTTAGCGTCCATCTGTAGTCATTATAGACCTATCTCCCGTGTTTTTTCATTCAATGGATAAGCGCCGCGGCCCGCGATCGTAGTCGTTAAACAACTTTCGCAAGGGTCGGTCACGGGATGGGTGACCAAAAAATTATTATCTCGATCTACTCCGTGCTTCGGAAGGCACGTTAAGCCGTTGGTCCCGGCTGCATTTGCAGTCGTTAATACCCTCCAATCCGCATTGGGCCAGCGTGGAGGGTCATGGCCCATCCTCCTTAACCATCCATAAGGAAGGCCTGAGCCCCTGCAGTGGGGACGTAAAAGGGCTGGTGATGAAACCCGTAAACAGCAATGGTAATATAAACAAACTGATGATAATGTCATACATAATGTGTTGATTTCGTTTTGAAAAGGTGACTACTAGAGTAGCTCAATGTTACAATGTAGGATAACAATAATATACCAATACATAGTATTGTCAATGATAGTAGGTATGTTAAAACTATATTACTGATTAATAGCTGTTAATCGGACTTGGACTTCGCTCACGTAAATTCATTCCCGTGTGATGTTTCCTGTTGGTGAAAGAATTCTCATGATCAGATCAATATTTCCGAAGATTTCAATTGAGATTTGTTGGATGTTTTTTATATAATAGTATATATTTTCTTAATATTTCTAGCTAAATCCTTATTGCTTTTAAGTAAAACATAATTGTTTCATAATTACAATTGAAAACCGTATAAACACTTTTAAATACCTACTCA